GATGCTTTCTACTGAAGTGAATGCATTTGTGATGCTTTCTACTGAAGCAGATGCATTTGTGATACTTTCTACTGAAGGGAATGCATTTGTGATGCTTTCTACTGAAGTGAATGCATTTGTGATGCTTTCTACTGAAGTGAATGCATTTGTGATGCTTTCTACTGAAGCAGATGCATTTGTGATGCTTTCTACTGAAGGGAATGCATTTGTGATACTTTTCTGACTGAATGCATTTGTGATGCTGAAGGAATGCATTTTTGCATTTGTGATGATGCTTTCTACTGAAGGGAATGCATTTGTGATACTTTCTACTGAAGTGAATGCATTTGTGATGCTTTCTACTGAAGGGAATGCATTTGTGATGCTTTCTACTGAAGGGAATGCATTTGTGATGCTTTCTACTGAAGAGAATGCATTTGTGATGCTTTCTACTGAAGCAGATGCATTTTGATCTTTCTACTGAAGCAGATGCATTTGTGATGCTTTCTACTGAAGCAGAATGCATTTGTGATGCTTTTACTGAAGGAATGCATTTGTGATGCTTTCTACTGAATGCATTTGTGAATGCATTTGTGATGCTTTCTACTGAATGCATTTGTTAACTGAAGCAGATGCATTTGTGATGCTTTCTACTGAAGTGAATGCATTTGTGATGCTTTCTACTGAAGCAGATGCATTTGTGATACTTTCTACTGAAGCAGCATTTGCATTTGTGATGCACTTTCTACTGAAGTGAATGAAGGAAGGAATGCATTTGTGATGCTTTCTACTGAAGCAGATGCATTTGTGATGCTTTCTACTGAACTGAAGCTTTCTACTGAAGATGCATTTGTGATGCTTTCTACTGAAGCAGATGCATTTGTGATGCTCTATTGAAGCAGATGCATTTGTGATGCTTTCTACTGAAGCAGATGCATTTGTGATGAATGCATTTGTGATGCTTTCTACTGAAGCAGATGCATTTGTGATGCTTTCTACTGAAGCAGATGCATTTGTGATACTTTCTACTGAAGCAGATGCATTTGTGATGCTTTCTACTGAAGCAGATGCATTTGTGATGCTTTCTACTGAAGCAGATGCATTTGTGATATGCTTTCTACTGAAGTGAATGCATTTGTGATGCTTTCTACTGAATGCTTTTCTACTGAAGCAGATGCATTTGTGATACTTTCTACTGAAGGGAATGCATTTGTGATGCTTTCTACTGAAGCAGATGCATTTGTGATGCTTTCTACTGAAGCAGATGCATTTGTGATGCTTTCTACTGAAGCAGATGCATTTGTGATGCTTTCTACTGAAGTGAATGCATTTGTGAGCAGATGCATTTGTGATGCTTTCTACTGAAGCAGAGATGCATTTGTGATACTTTCTACTGAAGCAGATGATGCATTTGTGATGCATTTTTGTTTTTACTGAAGCAGATGCATTTGTGATGTTTTCTACTGAATGCATTTGATGATGAATGAATTGAATGCATTTGAATGCATTTGTGATGCTTTCTACTGAAGCAGATGCATTTTGTGATGCTTTCTACTGAATGCATTTGTGATGCATTTGTGATGCTTTTTTACTGCATTTACTGAAACAGATGCATTTGTGATGCTTTTACTGAAAGCAGATGCATTTGCATTTGTGATGCTTTCTACTGAAGCAGATGCATTTGTGATGTTTTCTTTCTACTGAAGCAGATGCATTTGTGATACTTTCTACTGAAGGCAGATGCATTTACTGAAGGGAATGCATTTGTGATACTTTCTACTACATTTGTGAAGGAATGCATTTGTGATACTTTCTACTGAAGCAGAAGTGAATGCATGAAGCAGATGATACTTTCTACTGAAGCATTTGTGAATGCATGCATTTGTGATGCTTTTACTGAACTGAAGTGAATGCATTTGTGATGCTTTCTACTGAAGTGAATGCATTTGTGATGCTTTCTACTGAAGTGAATGCATTTGTGATGCTTTCTACTGAAGTGAATGCATTTGTGATACTTTCTACTGAAGCGAATGTATTTGTGATGCCTTTTCCTGTAATAAATACATTTAGCCGGCCTTCTCCCTCATAGAAGATTAATACTTTATTATTTTATCTCCATTTTCTCCAATTTAGGATTTATGCATCATTGTATGATAAAGGCTAAGTAAATGCTTCTGTGGACAGACATATATTAGAATATAGAAAATTATCATACATCTTTTTATTTGGTAAAATAGACATTTAAAACACAATATGTATCCATTTTATATATATATATATATATATATATAAGCAGTATATCTTCATTCAAACATATTTCACTGAATAATATAGACATATTGTGTCTACTTATTTTTATACTGATCGTTTCCAGTTGTCTAATCAGTTTTTTGATAAGATGAAATTTATCAAGGAAGGTACTGTAGTTTTTTTTTTTTTTTTAACCCACATACTTTTGACCTTTTCTAAGATCATCTTCAGGGGCAAATTACAAAGATAACATAACTGTGATGGAATCCACACTCCGTTGTGATAGTGATTTTTAAAAACACACATTAATGCGCTGTTATAATGCGATGGGTAAATTGTCGCCATTGTTATATTTTTAATTTCATGCATGTATTTTGTTTGTTTTTGATTTTGTCAATTGAACAGTATAGTAGGGTCTGTTGGGCAATGTCTGTAAGAAAAAGAGCACCATGATTCAATTTGAAATTCATACCACTAGAAATTTGGAAACAGCATACTGTACTGCTTGGCATTCGTGCCGGAAGCTCCAATAAGAACTTTTCAGTTTGGGTGTCAATCTGAGAACAGTGCAGAGGATTTGGAAAGAGTTGGATGATTCTAATGGTGATTATGAAGGTGTTTGACTTGATCAAAAGTGATGTAGATGTTATGCCTGCATTCATCTTCCCATAGGGCCTCAGACTCAACATGGAGGCCTACATCATGCCTTGAGGAGGTAGTGCTGTGCTGGATCAAGATGGTGACTTTACCTCTGACAACAGCCCTGTGCACCATGCCACACAAACAGGAGAACCTGTTCATGGCTGTCAGACAGTTTCTATAACCACATCTCCACTTACATCTGGCCACCTAACTCCTCAGACTGCAAGACCCTTGATTATTATGTATGGGGGCACAGATGAGAGAGAGACTAACAAAAACTCCTTGTAACACCAAAGATGAACTGAAGGCAAGGATGATGGCAGCATTCACCAACTTAAACAAGGAGACCATCCAGAAGAATTGCAAGAGATACTGAAGTTGAAGTTTTATGTGTGGGATTTTTTTTTTTTTTTTTTTTGTCTGTCGAAATAAGCTTATTCCCCATATGAGGTGATTTTGGATTTTATTGTGTGTGTGTGTGTGTGTATATATATATATATATATATATATATATATATATATATATATATATAAAATCTGTTTGTAAAGAAGGGAATGGATTTTTTATTTATTAATCTGATAGATATTTAATACTTAAATGTTATTTTTAGTGGAATTTTCTATCTGTTTATTTATTAAGCAGTATATTTATTTCTTTTAATCTACTGGGCTGAATATTTGAGAAAACTTATTAAAGATTAAAGAAAAATATGCGCTCTCTGGCAGGATTCGAACCTGTGTTCTCCTAGGTGAAAACCATCATTAGATCTGATGTGCTTTGACCGGTCAGATTAATAAATTAAAAAAATCCATTCCTTTCTTTACAAATTGCTTCGTTATGTTAGGATACAAAATTCAGCATATATGTCTATTTCAAGAGTCAGAGAAAAATCTGTTTAAAGGCACTATTCAACTTTGCTTGGTCATCGATGCACTCTGTAGCTGAGAGGTCAAAGCACGTCAGATCTAATGATGGTTTCCCTTTGGGTAACTTAAAATTAACAAGTCATTCCTTTCCCCAGTTAAGAACAAATTGTTAGTCAATTTTTTTGGGATTAATTTGATCTTATTAAACTGATCAGACTTCCTATTAAACAAGAATAAATTGTTGTGTCTTCAACAGAGTTGAGAACTGATGACATCAAGATGGTTGTTGATGAAAATTAGGACTAATGTAGGTTGAAGGATAGAGCCCTGGGGGACACCAGCATTAATACAGAAAGATCTAGAAGAGTGACCATTCAAGACAACTTTCATTTCATGATTTGATAAGACTTGAATGAGTTCAAAAATGAATCCAGAAATATTCTAACTTTTAAACAACATGCCAAACAATTGCTGATACATCACCAGCTGAGAAGCGAAAACCATATTACTTATCTGAAAGAAGACCCTGTGAGGTAGATGCTTAACCAGTTTAGAGTTGATTTTAGCCTTTAGTAGTTTGCCAAAAAGAAGTATAAGGCTAATAGGCAGAGTATTAGAAGGATCAAATGGTTCACCTGAGTCATTGATGAAAATTAAGAGCAACATAGGTCAAAGGACAGAAGCCCGCGAGGGACACCTGCATTAATGCAAAAAGATTTAGAAGACAACTTTCATTTCTGGATTTGATAAGAAAGACTAAATCAGTTCAAAAATTAATTTAGAAATACCATCACCATTAAATTTGTGAAGAAGACCAACATGCCAAACCATATGAGATATCCAAAGCAACAGCCCGAGCTTCATTATTCTTATATAAAGCTTGATAGACTAATTCAACAATAATTGTTAATACATCACCAGTTAACCTAGAGAAGCAAAAGCTATGGGAGAAAAGCATACTAGGAGCAGCCAGCTTCTCATTCACTTTACAGAATAGATGAGAAGCTGAATCACCTGGGTGAGGTTTGGTGGGGTGGGTGATGTTTTAATGATTTGAAAAATCTCTGACACCAGTAATAAGCATCACTGATGAAACTTCCCAGCACATTGAATGGGTGCTTAGATTATGATAAAAATTCTTTGGGGAAGCAGACGGAGAACAGCATTTTTTTTTTTTTTTTTTTTTTTTTCAATTTCATTATTATTTTTTTTTTTTTTTCAATTATTTTTCCCTACATGAATTAATGAATTTTATTCTCCAGAAATGTTCCAAGAGAGACGTTCCTTCAATGGAAGACATCACAAACTTCCACAAACACCTAAACAAGAGTACGAGTATGCTATTCAATGCCTCGACAGGGTTGCCAACACAGTCAAGTCCAGTAAGCATAATTTTTCTTATTTATATTTAAGATTTTAAATTATAAACTCTTTTTAAAAACTGAAGACCTGAAATCTAGTAATCTCTAATGTTTTAAGAACATGTGTTGCAAAATATATTTTATACAACTGTCTTCAAACTTTTCAGTACACAGCACATTGTATATTTTATACAACAGTCTCCAAACCTTACTGTATAAGGACCACATATTTTTACCTTAGAAATTTTTGACATGTTTGTCTATATAATATTGTTTTTTATTTACTTGACAAGTTTTTAAAGTGTCAAAAGATTTTTGATTGTTCCTGCAAACTTTGTTGGTCCTTGTATTCTTTAAAAAAAAAAATTTGTAATTTTTTTTTTACTTTTTAAAAATGTTATTGTGCTAAATAACTAAATGGAAACAAATGTACAAAAACATTTTTCTTGCCCAGTTTTTATATAAGGATTATATGTGGATATGTAAAACACACACACACACACACACATATATATATATATATATAATAATTTCATATAGAGTATATATGTAAAAAGACAATGTGAATAAAGACAAAAGGAAAACTTTTGTTTTGTCCTCTGTGGGGTTTTATCAAGTCAAATGCAAGGATTTTATTTTGTAACAAGTATTTATATACAAGAGTAAAACTGTTATTGGTTTTTCAAAACTTTTAAATTAGTAATGCTCAGCAATATTCATCAGATTAGCTGAAACATGAAGCAAAGTATTAGACATTGAATTGTATCACTTCTCATCTCCCATACTTTGCTTGATGTTTTAGCTAACCTGATGTATATTGATGAATATTTAAGGTTAGGTTTTTGGTTTCTTCAAAACTTTTTTTCATTTTTTTTCACTCCCAGTAACCCCTTGTGTCTTATTATCACCTTACTTAGAGTGAATTGATTATATATATATATATATATACACACACACACACACACATACACACAGGGTTATTAAAAAAAGGAGCAAATTTTAATAAATTTAATAAAAACAAATGTTAAGAGACAGAAACAACTTCAACACATTACTAGATAGGAAAAGGTTCAAAGATTATTATTTTAAGGTTTTCAGCTTGTATGTACTCGATATGAGCACCATGTGTTGCACAACAAACATCAAAATGGTATTTCACTTCTTGCCACACATGAATCAAATGATCTGTGGATGCTGACTTCACAGGTTCAACAATTCAATATCTCAAATCTTCAAGAGATATAAGAGAGATTTTCTCATCCCAAATTAGAGTTTGTGGAACAAAATAAGAGAAACCCGGATATAAGAGAAGCCCGGATACAGTGGTCCCAAATTAGAGCCTGGATATAAAGAGACCAAACCCGGATATAAAAGAGATTTTTCTCTGGTCCCAAATTAGAGTTTGTGTTAATGTATATAAAATAGACCAAACCCGGATATAAGAGAAACCCGGATATAAGAGATTTTCTCTGATCCCAAATTAGAGTTTTTCTCTGGTCCCAAATTAGAGCCTGTGTTAATGTATATAAAATAGACCAAACCCGGATATAAGAGAAACCCGGATATAAGAGAGATTTTCTCTGGTCCCAAATTAAGTTTGTGTTAATGTATATAAAATAGACCAAACCCGGAATAAGAGAAACCCGGATATAAGAGATTTTCTCTGGTCCCAAATTAGAGTTTGTGTTAATGTATATAAAATAGACCAAACCCGGATATAAGAGAAACCCGGATATAAGAGATTTTCTCTGGTCCCAAATTAGAGTTTGTGTTAATGTATATAAAATAGACCAACGGATATAAAGAAACCCGGATATAAGAGAAGCCCGGATGTATATAAAATAGACCAAACCCGGATATAAGAGAAACCCGGATATAAGAGATTTTCTCTGGTCCCAAATTAGAGTTTGTGTTAATGTATATAAAATAGACCAAACCCGGATATAAGAGAAACCGGATATAAAGAGAAACCCGGATATAAGAGGATATCCCAAATTAGAGAAATGTATATAAAAATAGACCAAACCCGGATATAAGAGAAACCCGGATATAAGAGAAACCCGGATTTTTTCTGGTCCCAAATTAGAGTTTGTGTTAATGTATATATAATAGACCAAACCCGGATATAAGAGAAACCCGGATAATTTTCTCTAGTCCCAAATTAGAGTTTGTGTTAATGTATATATAGACCAAACCCGGATAAGAGAAACCCGGATATAAGAGACTTCTTCTCCGGTCCCGACAACTCTCTTATATCCGGGTTACGCTGTATATCCTTTTATATACCCCCACTGATAAAAATCGCATGGAGTAAGATCTGGTGACCTTGGACAAATTATAACAATTTAAATTTATACAAAATCTGGAACCACCCCACAAAAGAAAGAAAAAAAAAAACAAAAAGATGCATTTAGACTAGATTGAAAAAAAATGTTCATTTATTTTAATAACTTTGAACCTTTTCTTATCCAGTAATGTGTTTAATGTGTTTCTGCCTCTTTGCATATTTTTTTATTAATGTTTTCGAAATCTGCTCTTTCTTTCTGAATAACCCTGTGTGTATGTATATATATATATATATATATATATATATATATATATATATATATATAACATTCTTTTTTCTCTTACGTAAACCCCTTCCACCCACCTTCCTAATATTCTCTCTGTTAAGATTTAATCTCCCTCCCCTCATACTTACTACTCTCTCTAAATTCTGTTTTTATTTCCGGAGTTGTTTTTTTCTGTTTTCCTTTTGAATTTGTAGGTCTGATGAATTGGATCGTATTTACGATTCCAATGGAATAAATTATGACCATGGAATATTAGTGTTTAAGCCTTTTTATTATATCCTTACTCTGTCCTGGACATTGAGTTCTACCTGGATTCTTCCTCTTGGAATTTTTATTCTAAAAATATACATGTATGGGTATTTATATATTTTGCATACGTATGTATATTTACCACTAATATTATCTATATATATATATATATATATATATATATATATATATATATATATATATATATATATATATAGCAGTATAACCCATCTTTGACTGGATCTTTCATTACTGGGAATTTTTGCCATTCATTTGGAGCAGTTTAAGTTTAAATTCAGCCCACCTGAAAATCAAAATTAGTACCAACATTTGGGTGCAACTGAGGCACATCCCTAAATGGTGGGGGGTAACAATTTGAATGGAGGGTGGCCCTAAAAAGAGAACTGTATAATAATAAATAATATTATTATAATAATTTAAACTATTTTATGTTTATTAAATTTTTAATGAAAAATATACATCCAAGAACAGATAGTAAATAGTAAAATGTTGCTGTGAGTTATAATGTACAGGAAGTAGTGGAGAGCCATTGTCACCAACAATTTGGACTGAAAACTGCCACCGAAGAATTATCTATCAAACAAAAAAAATTTCATCAAAATCGGATGAAAACTGGAAATGCATAAACAGAATCTAATCTCTCACACACACACACACACACACACACACACACGTTGATTATTTTATATATATATATATATATATATATATATATATATATATATATACATATACATACATATATATATATACATATATATACATATATATATATATATATATATATATATATATATATATATATATATATAAACCTTGAGAAAATTAATTTAAAGGCAGTTTCTGTAAGTTCCCTCTTTTCACTAGGTACATTTTCATGTTAACTCAAGGACCATTTTTCATAAGAATTTATATTTACTTATCTTTTTTTTAATTTTTTTTAGGCACCAGTAAAGAAAAAATCTGGTCGTTTTGATTATGACAGTTCCCTGACATCTACAAAGGCTATAAAAAAGTGAGATGCATTTTTTTTTCTCTAATTATAATTTTATCGTGATGAGATTGCTTTTCTCCATCTAATTCCCTGCGTAGTATTGACATTTTTGCATTTGATGTTTTCCTGCATGAATTTCTGGGATGAATAGTCATTGTTACACAAAACAGTGGATTAAAATGTTGGTTTGTGAATTTGGTGATGTAGAGTTCAATCCCTGGGTCAGGAAGTGTGTAAGTGGAAATGGGGTGAGTAATAACTGAGCAGTACTAAAAATAGATGAGATATCCCTAAATACGCTCAGCAGAATGAGAAAAATACCCCACCCACCCTATTCAAAAGATTGACAACCACCTGATGAAAACCAGCAGATGATTCAGAGTTTGCATGTAAAGAATTATATATATACATATATATATATATATAAGTGTGCAGGTATGCAGAAAATAGAAAAGAACACGTTGGGTGCATAATCCGGAGTTCCTTAGTATTTTTGTTTTTATTTTTAAGAAGACAGTGCTCCATACAGAAATAGAGCTTTATTATAATAATATCTTTTTGTTTAAAAATATGATTCCTTCGCTACATAAGAGTTCTCATGTTTCAAAAACGAGAGCCGAAACCTTCCAAATAATTATTAAAATTAAGTTGAATTGAGGTGTTCAGTCCCATTTCATCTTCAAGCGAAATTTTAGGAATTCCTAAAATTTAGGATTCCTAAAATTTTGCTTGAAGATGAAACGGGACTGAACACCTCAATTCAACTTAATTTTAATAATTATTTGGAAGGTTGAAACATGAGAACTCTTATGTAGTGAAGGAATCATATTTTTAAACAAAAAAATATTATTATATATATATATATATTTTTGTTCTTTAAGGGTAGTTGATAACTTTCGTGGTGATTGTAGAAAGTGACCTGAAGTGAAATTTACAAAGTTGTTTATGGACAAGCCCATTTGATAACAGAGGCTGGTTGGTTGATATTTTGTTAGAAACAAAGAAAAGAGGTACTGAACTGTTATGTAATATCAATCCTCCTCTATGGCAGTGAATGCTGGACAATCTCCTCACAGATGAAGAAGAGACTTGAAGCAACAGAAATATGGTTCTACAGAAGGATATTGAGGATACTATGCACTGAATATGTGAGCAATGAAAACCAAAAAGAACACTTTTACTTAACATCAGAAAGAGGGAGTTGAAATTTCTCGGGCACATAATGAGGAAAGAGAGTTTAGAAAATTTGATACTCTCAGGGTAGATTGAAAGCAAGGGAGACAGCAGAAAGCAATGCATAACCTAGCAAGCGAACTTCAGTAAATGGATGGTAGAACAAGATTTAAGAGAGATAACAAAAAGACGATTTATTCAAAGCTACAAAGGACATGAAATTGCGGAAAGCCATGATCACTGATGCCCTGAAGAGACACAGCACATAGAAGGAGGTTTTTATGTCAAGCTATAGACTTATTAATATACCATAGATCTTCCAAATATATAAAGCGCAAGAATTCATTTAAATACGTTGTATTAAATTCAACCAACAAAGCCTGTCTCTTAAACGTTTCTATTGTATTTTTCCTGTTTTTGAAGAAGTTGTTGCACATCTGGATCAAAATTATGGATAAACTGTTGATTATTTATCTTTTTAATCTTATATTGTTGGAGTATTTTCAACTGCTCCGGTCATTATCAAGAATAAAATGCTGTCAGTATCATAGGCAAGAGTTTGTTAGTCACTACCATTTAGAGCCTATGATGACCAAGATGGTCAAAAATAGTCAAATAAATTACAACATAAAACATGTATATGCACAAAAGCTAAGTATCATCTACCATGTATTCAGTTGTGAAAGCAGAATAACATATTGTAATTTTATTACTTCAGAGCTCCCAAGAAAATTAAATTTCGGTATTAAATGACCCATAAGAAGTTGATATGCTGTTAAACAAATGCATCAATCAATTAGACTTTCCTGTAATCCTAACGTTTGTCAGAATAAAAAAAAATATTGATATTTTAGAAAGGAGTCTTGTTCATAATATAAATGCAGTGTCATATCGATCCCTGACTCTTTTAAAGAGTTACCTGTACTTTGTTTTTATTTACAAGTGTCAAGTTTGAAACAGTGCTCATGTCATTTGTAACTGTGTACTACTAATGTTTTCTTCTTTTTTTACCACCTAATTTGAGATTTTTCTCATTTAGGCATCACTGTTCTTGCAAAGCTAAGTTTCATAAATATCTGAGCTGTCACCCAAATGAGTGAAGTTTAGCTTTGTCTGGCACAAGGCAAAATTGGAGGGAAGTTTTATTGAGCAAGTCAGCGTGAGGTCCTTCCTTGAAAGTCAGCATTTAAGACTTTTCCTGAGTCACTTGACAAAGTTGACAAATATATTGAACATGTCAGTTGAAATGTTGCGATTCTAAATCAACCACAATGAGAATGTTAGTCCAAACAACTTGGGAAATAATGGCAATGATACATCTAAAAATTTTAGATGATATTGGTCAAGTCTGGCATAAAAAGTTCCATATGGCACTTTATTTGGAGCTTACTGGTACCCTCCTCCTCCCCACTGCAAAATTTATTTTGGCCAAAACGTAATCCATATGATTATTCTTTCATGTGATTATCTGGTTTTTCCTTCATGAATTTGCTGCACCCATCTACCTGTGTTATGTTCGACAGAATAGAATATGATAGACTTATAGCTGCAAAATATCTTTTCACCAAAGAATTGTGATAAGAAGCAAATCAATGAGTTCTATAGTTCAAAGAACCCTTGGAATGATAATGATATTTCTCAAAATTATTGATAGTATTTTCTATATAGACTGCACACCTGAAGACAGCTGTAAAATGGATCAGCTGAAATGCTGCAACAAAAAGAACATAATGAATGAATTTAATTGTCTGAGATGCTTTCGGAATGATAACAACTCTATTCAAAATCATACATATTTCTGTAGTAAAATGATTTCTGATGTATTTCTATAGTAATGCCATTTGAAAAGAATTTTCTCTATAAACTCCACCCATCAGAAATTTATTTGATGATCAATTTTTTTGACTTCCAAAGCTTTGTTTTGTTCTTCACAAGGACGCTAGTGATTTGCGCAATTTGGTGTTCCTAAGCAGTCATCTATGAACTGTCTATATAACAGCTAAACTTGAATACCTGAGGTATTCAAGTGTAGCAAAAATGAAGAAAAAAATCACTCTATCATCATATCTAAGCAAAGATCTCTGTATAAGATTCTCATTTTATGCATAGAAATCATGCCTGTCTACTTTTCTCTTTTCAGTGCTTTGTCGTGTTCCAAACTGGTTACAAAAACAAGCTCTTGTGATGATATTGACAATAAAGAGAATTCAGAAAAGACTTTTAGCACGAGCGCTCCAGCTTCCACTAATTGCCTGCTGGGAAATTTTGAGGTAAGAAAGCAGGTTTGGGTCAGAGCTGCACACATGAAGAAATGTCGAGTGTTGTGCTGATAAATAAAGTATTGGTTGGTTTTCTTTCTTTCGTTCGTTCTTTCATTTTTTCTTTCTTTCACTTTTACGTTTTTGATCCATTTGGACTAGTTTTTACAGCATTGTCTTTGGGGCAGAGTTGTATCATAAGAAAATAGATCTATTTCTAAAAATCCCTAAATGAAATGCCAGACAGGACATTTAAAAAAAAAAAGGTGTCGATATATTTTTTCACAATATGCCTCAGTTTATAAGATTTATTTTGAAGAGAAGTTTTTGGAAAAAAAGCTACTTTTGTATTTGAATTTTTCTTCAGTAAAATCTTTAAATCTGAAAATAATTAATATATATTGTCGGCCAACTTGGATTTTTGTGCCTGCAAAAAAATGGGGTGTTTTTTCCATTTATACTGCTTTTGTTTTCACTACCTTTACTCCTTGGCAATGTTTGTTTTAAAAAGCGATGGTTAGAATTAGAACAAAACCAAAATACAGTGTAACCCGGATATAAGAGACCCGGATATAAGAGAAACCCGGATATAGGAGAGATTTTCTCTGGTCCCAAATTAGAGCCTGTGTTAATGTATATAAAATAGACCAAACCCGGATATAAGAGAAACCCAGATATAAGAGAGATTTTCTCTGGTCCCAAATTAGAGCCTGTGTTAATGTATATAAAATAGACCAAACCCGGATATAAGAGAAACCCGGATATAGGAGAGATTTTCTCTGGTCCCAAATTAGAGCCTGTGTTAATGTATATAAATTAGACCAAACCCGGATATAAGAGAAATTTTCTCTGGTCCCAAATTAGAGCCTGTGTTAATGTATATAAATTAGACCAAACCCGGATATAAGAGAAACCCGGATATAAGAGACTTCTCCTGTCCCGACAACTCTCTTATATCCGGGTTACACTGTATTTGATGAAAGTTTTTTTATACATTTTGTTTTTCTTCTTGAGAATTTACAACAAATACATTAAGCACTATTTACTTATTAGATTGTTTATTTACAAGAATAATTTTATATTTGCAATATTCTAAACACTAATAAAATGCAATATTTATCATTTACCAATTTATAAAGAAATAAACATGAAAACAATTTTTTATTCATAAATTTATAAACATTTACTAAATTATTAAAATATGTGAACCAATTAAAGGATGTTCCAATAACTTGGATCGATTTTAAATGTGAATTAAGTTTAAGTGTCTAATGGTTTTCTTCTGTTCCTTTCAGATTTAACAACTTAAGTCTTTGCCAATTTCAACCATAGAAAGATTAATAATCAAACATGTTAAAGTTTCAAGAGTGCGATTGGAAAGATTTTACGTCAATTCAAACAGATTGGGTCGATGGCAGATGTGAAAACACCACTGTATACTCATTTACACCGTTCAGCTGAAAACATTGCTGCAGTGCACGAGAATGTGGCCAAAAATCCAAACACCGCTATTCATCATCGCATGCAGGAATTGAACCTCTTCACAACAACATTACATTGTTTCCAATTCCATTCTTGGTTGGTTGATTATGTCGACCCCAAAAAATTGTGAAGTGTGCAAAACACATTTCTGTTCGAACGTCCATTTTCATAATAGGCTTTGATAATTTTAACACATTGTTTGATTGTTAATCTTTCCATGGTTGAAATTGCTAAAGACTTAAGTTGTTAAATCTGAAAAAAAGGAAAAAATCATTAGACGCTTAAACTTAATTCACATTTAAAATCAGTCCAAGTTATTAGAACACCCTATATAAAGAAATCCTTATTATTTACCATTTTATAAAGTTTGAATTGATTGGCGATGTTTGCCAATCATTCTAATAAACACTATAATAGTATGAATAAACTATCCAATAGTATTTTATTATTTTGTTGTAAATTCTCAAGAACAAAGGAAATGGATAAATTCACTTTCATATGTTTAGGTTTTATTACAATTTTAATCATTGCTTTTTAAAACAAACATTATTGATGGTTGTAGTTAAAAATAATAGTGTTGTCATGGGAAAAAACACGCTTTTGACATTCTGCTTTTTGCAAGCACAAAGGTCCATGTTTGCCATATTGTTCTTGACACAAAATGACTCAAAATATCAAAATAAGAAAATGCTGTAAATAAAAAAACAAAGAAGGTTTACTGTTATTTAGTTTTGTTCAAAATCTACGAAATCCTTTTTGCTTTCACAATCACTTTGAAAAAAAAAATCAAACATTTCAGTATTGGGCTCAAGATCATTATCAAAGTGAATGCCTCATCCATTTTGTTACTGATACCACACTTCTTCACAATATCACTTTTTTTTTTTTTTTTTTTTTTTTTTTTTTACTCACAAATTCTGCCCCCACATGAATATCTTTAGTATATAAGATGCAAGGAGATTTTTGGTTAAAAAAAAAAAAAAGAGTGCATCTTAAAAAGAAAAGAAAAATACAATAGCAGAAAATTAGATAAAGGGTTTTATTAAACCATTCCAAAATCTTGCCAAATACAGTAAACCTTTGAGACTGTCCAAGAGACACATGGCCGAGTGGATTAATGTGTTGTTTAAAACATGTCAGGCACTCTGGCATTTGTTGATTCAATCCCTAATGCTGAAAAGTCACATGCTCTGGTTGAGTGGATGAAATGTACAAGTGATACATAGGTGAATAAAACTGGTAAGTACTAAAAAAAATACTAAAATACAAAAGATCCTCCATAGCATAAAAATTTTAAGGAGAATAATTTACCCCCATACAATGAATACAGGGGTCAGTTCAAAATTCCAAGAATGTTACTGAGTGCTAAAACACACATATGAATAAGGCCTGTGAGTATAATGACCAAGATGAGCATACTGGTCAAAATAGCACAGCATGTATTAGGTTGGTACAAAAATAATGACGTAATAATGTTGTTTTTTGACGTATTTTTTAACGTCAAAAAACGACATTCTTACGTCATTATTTTTGCACCAACCTAATAATACTTGGGGAAAATGAAAAAAAAGGGGGTAAAAACAGATGTAAGGTGAAACAAATACTAGTCAGAAATTAATATTAAGTGGTAATGGTTCATCTAAAAAAATTAATATATCTAATACTATTATTGCAAATAAAACAAGAGAAAAAAAGATGAAAGAAATACTTATTAAAAATGAATAATAATTGACAAAGCTTCATCCAAAAAATTTTAATAATATTACATCTAATACTACTGGTATTAGGTTGGTGCAAAAATAATGACGTAAGAATGTCATTTTTTGACGTTAAAAAATACGTCAAAAAACAACATTATTACGTCATTATTTTTGCACCAACCTAATATTTATAAATAAAGCAAGGGAAATAAAATGAAAAAAATACTAATCAAAAATTAATAATGGGCGACAATGCTACATTTAAATTCAAATATTACATCTGATATTGCACATAAATAAAGCAAGAGAAATAAGATGGAAGTAATATTAATTTGTTTTAATAATCTTTGTATCCTACATTATTTCAACACCAGTAAATAAAAGTGAGAGGTTATAATAAATGGGTGTGGTAGAAAAAAAAAATCGGAAAATGAAATAAGCAATTTGGTTTGGAGGAAAAAATGAGAAAATCTAATAAATGGGGGATGCTTAATAAATGGGGTGAATGGAGAAATGATTAAAAACAAGTTTTCCAAACTAAGATCTTTAAGAATTAAAACTTAAAAAGGAAATTGAAATTAAGCAACATCTTCAAGGCACTGGAATCTTGCTGAAACATTAATGATCACAATTTTGACCTGGAAAATGCCATTTTCTTAAAAAATCAAGATAATTTACTCAGACAATGATGCATCAAAATATTATGATATACACCCCCCCACCAGCAAAAATACAGCCAGGCTTCTGCCGTCTTAGACTTTTTAGGGGTGGACTATTGCCCTTATCATCATTGTTCTTATCACAACGTTTCAGCCGTTGTATCCTACAGCCTTCATTGGACGTATATCAATCTGGATGACCTACAGGGAATTTCGAACTGAACCCTTTATTTAATCTACGGGGGTAGAATATTCACATTCCACTGCCCAAGTTTAAGAACATCTCATCTAGTTCTAGATGTAAATCTCAAATTTCAATTAAATATGTGTTATTGTTATAAAGAAAGAGAAATAAGATGTAAAAAAATACTTGTCAAAAATTAATAATGATTCACACTGCTACATCTAATGTTATGAATGTAAATAAAGCAAGAGAAATAACATGAAAGAAATATTACTTTGTTTTAAGATGTTTTTGTATCCCACATCATTTCAACATCAGTTGAGTAAGAAGAGGTGATATGTTAAAGAAAATGATTCATTGTTGAAACAAATTGGGATGCAAAAAATCTTAAAACAAATAAATACTTAAATTAAGACAGAGATGAAATTAATAAAATGTGCTTTAAAGAACTATATAGTTTAAGTATTAAAACCAAACCCTAAGTAATTAGAGACCGACAAAGTGTAATATTGAATTTTTCTAGAGTTTATTAAAATGTAGCAAGCATATGTGTAACTAGGTTTCATGGAGATCAAGTACACAAAATAATAAAAAAACAATGAAAATGATAATTTCATTTTAATCTGATGAATATTCAGGCACATGTTTGTGCTTTGTGGGTAGTGACAACTCCATTTCTCCTCCTCATGGGAGGAGGCATGGTAGTAGTTGCCACTAACATGTACATACACTGGAGAGATAATAGAACTGAGTTCATTTGTAGAATTCTGAGTATTCGGTCTGTCAAAGCATAGATGGATTGTACACTGTGTGCTTAATCAGTGTGAAAGTTTTAGTTCGGCATATCCTTGTCTTGTTGCATTTTAAAAAAATCTAAAAATTATAACATCAGTATATATATATATATATATATATATATATATATACACACACACACATACAAATATATGCACATACATACATATACACACATATGCACATACACACACTCACACATACATACATACATATATATATATATATATATATATATATATATGAATGTTTTAGTTCTGCATGTTTGTCTTGTTGCATTATAATAAAATCTAAAAATTATAACAGTATATAT